AGAAAGAGAGATAGAGAGAAAGAGAAAGGCATAGAGAGAAAGGGAGAAGGAGAAAAAGAAAGATTTTTTTTTCTAGATTTCTTTGCTGTGACATAATGTCTGTTTTATTTTGCTTCCAAATCTCCTGTGTGCAAGGGATGGCCGGGATTGAACGTATGTCAGCAAGATTGCTAAACGAACACGCTACACAGCAGAGAGGAAGGGGGGGGGGTCATGAGGGAGAGGATGAAATAGAGCGAGAGGGTGAGAGAGAAATAAAGAAAAAGAGAGATGGTGAGACAGAGATTGAGAAAGAGGGCGAGAACGCGAGAGGGGGGGATGGGAAAGAAAGGAGGGTGAGAGAGAGATAGGACGGAAGAGAGTGAGAGGATGAGAGAGAGAGAGAATGAGAGATGGAGAGAGAGAGATGTATACAGAGACGGATAGGAAGCGAGGGGAATAGAGGGAGGAAGGGAGGAAAAACTAAAGAGAGAGAGAGTTCAATTTATTATCATTATACGAAAGGGAGGTAGGAGGAAGAAGCATGTAAACACTCACAGACACACAAATACAGTTATATGCACATACACAAACACACACACACAAACACACATACATTCAAAGGGAAAGCCATCATCATCTGGCGATTTCTTCCTTCCAGACGAGCCTCGAAAACTACCGAAAAGACATGAAGGAGAAGCTGCGAGACAAGGATAAGGAGGTTGAGGAGAAGGAAATCGACATTGCTTCTTTGAAGGACGCTCTTGCGAAGAAGGAAGATGAAATAAGCGCAGTTAAGGTGAGATAAACAGGAAAGCAAAGCGAGTTCTGAAATGGGGAAGAGACAGAAATAGGTAGCTAGATATAGAGTGAGAGTGACAGAGATGTGGGTAGCAAGCTAGCAAAATAAATGGATAGATCGATAGGTAAAGTCAATGGGAAAGAGAGAGAGAGAGAGAGAGAGAAGGAGAGAGGGTGAGAGAAAGTGAGTGAGGGAGAGAGAGAGAAAGAGAATCATGAGAGTGAAAGCGAAAGCGCGAAAGAGGCGATGGAAGGAATGAGGATGAGAGAGAGAGAGGACGAGGGTACAAGAGTGAAAGAGAGAAAGGTTGAGAGTGATAGAGAGAATGTGGAGAGATAGGAAAAGGTGAAAGGGAGAGAGAGGGTGAAAGGCAAGAGAGAGAGAGAGAGATAAAGAGAGAGAGTTAGATTTATTGTTATACGAAAAAGAAGCAGGAGGAAGAGGCATGGAAATACTCATAGACAAACAAATACAGTTATATGCACATACACACACACAAACAACGTACTTACATTCCCAAAATACAAAGGGAATGCCATCATCATTTGGCGATTTCTTCCTCAGACGAGCCACGAAGAAGACCAAAAAGACCTGCAAGAGAAGCTGCGAGAAAAGGATGAGAAGGTCAAAGAGACGCAGAATGAAAATGCTGCTTTGAAGGATGCTGTTGCAAAGAAAGATGGGGATTTAGAAAGATTGAAGGTGAGATGAATAGGAAAGTAGAGAAGTTCTTGAAAGAGAGAGGAGGAAAAGAGAGAATGAGAGAAGGAGCGAGAGAGAGGGAAGAAAGAAAGAGAGAGGGAAGGTGAGGCCGGGAGAGAGAGAGAGAGAAAGTAGGAGAGAGAAGGAGAGAGAGAGACACACACACACACACAGGAGATTGAGAGAGAGAGAGAGAGAAAAAAAAAGAGTGAGACGAATGAGAGAGGGAGAGGTTGGGGCCAAAGAAGAGATATTTTGTAGAAAGACTAAAGATTTACTTTTAATTCATTTCTTGCAATGGATATTCGTTGCTGTGACATTCTGCCTCTGAATCTCCCCCTGTGTGCAAGGAATGGCCTAGAGTACCATCCACTGGCTTGAACGCACGTTGCTAGACAAGCACGTTGCCTTTGCACTACACAGCACACGAGATAAAGAGATAGAGAGGGTGGGAGGGGAAGCATAGGGAGAAAGAGTGGAGGAGAGAGGGAGAACGAGAGAGAGACGGGGGGAGGAGAAAGAGAGATAGAGAGAAAGAGAAAGGCATAGAGAGAAAGGGAGAAGGAGAAAAAGAAAGATTTTTTTTTCTAGATTTCTTTGCTGTGACATAATGTCTGTTTTATTTTGCTTCCAAATCTCCTGTGCAAGGGATGGCCGGGATTGAACGTATGTCAGCAAGATTGCTAAACGAACACGCTACACAGCAGAGAGGAAGGGGGGGGGGTCATGAGGGAGAGGATGAAATAGAGCGAGAGGGTGAGAGAGAAATAAAGAAAAAGAGAGATGGTGAGACAGAGATTGAGAAAGAGGGCGAGAACGCGAGAGGGGGGGATGGGAAAGAAAGGAGGGTGAGAGAGAGATAGGACGGAAGAGAGTGAGAGGATGAGAGAGAGAGAGAATGAGAGATGGAGAGAGAGAGATGTATACAGAGACGGATAGGAAGCGAGGGGAATAGAGGGAGGAAGGGAGGAAAAACTAAAGAGAGAGAGAGTTCAATTTATTATCATTATACGAAAGGGAGGTAGGAGGAAGAAGCATGTAAACACACTGACACACAAATACAGTTATATGCACATACACAAACACACATACATTCAAAGGGAAAGCCATCATCATCTGCCGATTTCTTCCTTCCAGACGAGCCTCGAAAACTACCAAAAAGATTTGAAGGAGAAGCTGCGAGACAAGGATAAGGAGGTTGAGGAGAAGGAAATCGACATTGCTTCTTTGAAGGACGCTCTTGCGAAGAAGGAAGATGAAATAAGCGCAGTTAAGGTGAGATAAACAACAAAGCAAAGTGTCCTAAAATGGGTAAGAGACAGAGATAGATAGATAGATATAAGAGTGAGTGACAGAGGTGTGAATAACAAGCTAGCAAATAAATGGATAGATCGATAGGTAAAGACAATGATGAGAGAGAGAGAGAGAGAGAGAAGAGAGAGAGAGAGAGAAGAGAAGAGAGAAAGAGAGAGAGAGCGAGAGATAGAGACAGAGAGAAAGTGAGAAAGCAAAACGAGTTCTGAAATAGGGAAGAAACAGAGATAGATAGATAGATATAGAGTGAGAGTGACAGAGATGTGGGTAGCAAAGCATAGATGATGGATCGATAGGTAAGTCAATGGGAGAGAGAGAGAGAGAGAGAGAGAGAGAGAGAGAGAGAGAGAGAGAGAGAGAGAGAGAGAGAGAAGAGAGAGAGAGGGAAAGGGTGAGAGAAAGTGAGTGAGTGAGAGAGAGAGAGAGCGGGAAAGAGAATCATGAGAGTGAAAGCGAAAGCGCGAGAGAGGCGATGGAAGGAAGAAGGATGAGAAGAGAGAGGACGAAGGTACGAGAAAGAGTGAAAGAGAGAAAGGTTGAGAGTGATAGAGAGAATGTGGAGAGATAGGAAAAGATGAAAGGGAGAGAGAGGGTGAAAGGCAAAGAGAGAGAGAGAGAGATAAAGAGAGAGAGTTAGATTTATTGTTATACGAAAAAGAAGCAGGAGGAAAAGGCATGGGAATACTCATTGACAAACAAATACAGTTATATGCACATACATACACACACACACACGTACTTACATTCCCAAAATACAAAGGGAATGCCATCATCATTTGGCGATTTCTTCCTCAGACGAGCCACGAAGAAGACCAAAAAGACCTGCAAGAGAAGCTGCGAGAAAAGGATGAGAAGGTCAAAGAGACGCAGAATGAAAATGCTGCTTTGAAGGATGCTGTTGCAAAGAAAGATGGGGATTTAGAAAGATTGAAGGTGAGATGAATAGGAAAGTAGAGAAGTTCTTGAAAGAGAGAGGAGGAAAAGAGAGAATGAGAGAAGGAGCGAGAGAGAGGGAAGAAAGAAAGAGAGAGGGAAGGTGAGGGCGGGAGAGAGAGAAAGTAGAAGAGAGAAGGAGAGAGATACACAAACACACAGAGGAGATTGAGAGAGAGAATGAGGAGATTGAGAGAGAGAGGGAAGAAAGAGCGGGCGAATGAGAGAGGGAGAGGTTGGGCCAAAGAAGAGATATTTTGTAGAAAGACTAAAGATTTACTTTTAATTCTATCTCTTGCAATGGATATTCTTTGCTGTGACATGCTGCCTCTGAATCTCCCCTGTGTGCAAGCAATGGCCTAGAGTACCATCCACTGGCCAGCGCACAGGATCGAACGCAGGTCAGCAAGTTTGCTAGACAAGCACGTTGCCATTGCACTACACAGCACACGAGATAAAGAGAAAGAGATAGAGAGGGCAGGAGGGAAAGCATTGGGAGAAAGAGTGAAGGTGAGAGGGAGAACGAGAGAGAGACGGGGGGAGGAGGAAGAGAGAGAGAGAGAAAGAGAAAGGCATAGAAAGGGAGAAGGAGAAAAAGAAAGACATATATTTTTTTCTAGATTTCTTTGCTGTGACATAAAGAGATTGAGAAAGAGGGCGAGAACGCGAGAGGGGGGGATGGGAAAGAAAGGAGGTTAAGAGAGAGATAGGACGAAAGAGAGTGAGAGGATGAGAGAGAGAGAGAATGAGAGATGGAGAGAGAGAGATGTATACAGAGACGGATAGGAAGAGAGGGAGGAAGGGAGGAAAAACTAGAGAGAGAGAGTTCAATTTATTATCATTATACGAAAGAGAGGTAGGAGGAAGAAGCATGTAAACACTCACAGACACACAAATACAGTTATATGCACATACACAAACACACACACACAAACACACATACATTCAAAGGGAAAGCCATCATCATCTGCCGATTTCTTCCTTCCAGACGAGCCTCGAAAACTACCAAAAAGACTTGAAGGAGAAGCTGCGAGACAAGGATAAGGAGGTTGAGGAGAAGGAAATCGACATTGCTTCTTTGAAGGACGCTCTTGCGAAGAAGGAAGATGAAATAAGCGCATTTAAGGTGAGATAAACAGGAAAGCAAAGCGAGTTCTGAAATGGGGAAGAGACAGAAATAGTTAGATAGATATAGAATGAGAGTGACAGAGATGTGGGTAGCAAGCTAGCAAAATAGATGGATAGATCGATAGGTAAAGTCAATGGGAGAGAGAGAGAGAGAGAGAGAAGGAGAGAGGGTGAGAGAAAGTTAGTGAGGGAGAGAGAGAGAAAGAGAATCATGAGAGTGAAAGCGAAAGCGCGAAAGAGGCGATGGAAGGAATGAGGATGAGAGAGAGAGAGGACGAGGGTACAAGAGTGAAAGAGAGAAGGGTTGAGAGTGATAGAGAGAATGTGGAGAGATAGGAAAAGGTGAAAGGGAGAGAAAGGGTGAAAGGCAAAGAGAGAGAGAGAGATAAAGAGAGAGAGTTAGATTTATTGTTATACGAAAAAGAAGCAGGAGGAAAAGGCATGGAAATACTCATAGACAAACAAATACAGTTATATGCACATACACACACACAACCACACGTACTTACATTCCCAAAATACAAAGGGAATGCCATAATCATTTGGCGATTTCTTCCTCAGACGAGCCACGAAGAAGACCAAAAAGACCTGCAAGAGAAGCTGCGAGAAAAGGATGAGAAGGTCAAAGAGACCGCAGAATGAAATGCTGCTTTGAAGGATGCTGTTGCAAAGAAAGATGGGGATTTTAGAAAAAGATTGAAGGTAAAGATGAATAGGAAAGTAGAGACGTTCTTGAAAGAGAGAGGAGGAAAAGAGAGAGAATGAGAGAAGGAGCGAGAGAGAGGGAAGAAAAGAAAGAGAGAGGGAAGGTGGAGGCCGGGAGAAGAAAGAGAGGAAAGGTAGGAGAGAAGATAAGGACAGAGAGACAGCACGACCTGCAGTGGTTGCACACAGAGGCGTCAGTATTGGAGAGCAGAGAGAGAGAGAGAAAAAAAAGGTGAAGAAGCGAATAAGAGAGTGGTAGCAGGATATAGGACGATCAGAATTTCTTTCAGATAGATAAGTACTTTAGTCTTTCTAAACAGAATATTACTCCTCTTTCTTTTGGCCCAACCTCTCCCTCTCCCTCATTCGTCTCAACTATCTTTTTTTTTTCTCTCATCTCTCTCTTCGCAATCTCCTCTGTGTGTGCTGTGTGTCCATCTCTCCTTCTCTCTCCTACTTTTCTCTCTCTTCTCTCCCGGCCTCACCTCCCTCTCTTTCTTTCTTCCCTCTCTCTCGCTCCTTCTCTCATTCTCTCTTTTCCTCCTCTCTCTTTCAAGAACGTCTCTACTTTCCTATTCATCTTACCTTCAATCTTTCTAAATCCCCATCTTTCTTTGCAACAGCATCCTTCAAAGCAGCATTTTCATTCTGCGTCTCTTTGACCTTCTCATCCTTTTCTCGCAGCTTCTCTTGCAGGTCTTTTTGGTCTTCTTCGTGGCTCGTCTGAGGAAGAAATCGCCAAATGATGATGGCATTCCCTTTGTATTTTGGGAATGTAAGTACGTGTTTGTGTGTGTGTATGTGCATATAACTGTATTTGTTTGTCTATGAGTATTTCCATGCCTTTTCCTCCTGCTTCTTTTTCGTATAACAATAAATCTAACTCTCTCTCTTTATCTCTCTCTCTCTCTTTGCCTTTCACCCTTTCTCTCCCTTTCACCTTTTCCTATCTCTCCACATTCTCTCTATCACTCTCAACCCTTCTCTCTTTCACTCTTGTACCCTCGTCCTCTCTCTCTCTCATCCTCATTCCTTCCATCGCCTCTTTCGCGCTTTCGCTTTCACTCTCATGATTCTCTTTCTCTCTCTCTCCCTCACTAACTTTCTCTCACCCTCTCCTTCTCTCTCTCTCTCTCTCTCTCTCTCCCATTGACTTTACCTATCGATCTATCCATTTATTTTGCTAGCTTGCTACCCACATCTCTGTCACTCTCATTCTATATCTATCTAACTATTTCTGTCTCTTCCCCATTTCAGAACTCGCTTTGCTTTCCTGTTTATCTCACCTTAACTGCGCTTATTTCATCTTCCTTCTTCGCAAGAGCGTCCTTCAAAGAAGCAATGTCGATTTCCTTCTCCTCAACCTCCTTATCCTTGTCTCGCAGCTTCTCCTTCAAGTCTTTTTGGTAGTTTTCGAGGCTCGTCTGGAAGGAAGAAATCGGCAGATGATGATGGCTTTCCCTTTGAATGTATGTGTTTTTGTGTGTGTGTGTTTGTGTATGTGCATATAACTGTATTTTGTGTGTCTGTGAGTGTTTACATGCTTCTTCCCTACCTCATCTCTTTCGTATAATGATAATAAATTGAACTCTCTCTCTCTAGTTTTTCCTCCCTTTCCTCCCTCTCTTCTATCCGTCCTGTATACATCTCTCATCTCTCCATCTCTCATTCCTCTCTTCTCTCATCCTCATCTACTGCTCATTTCGTCCTATCATCATCTCTTAACCTCCTTTCTTTCCCATCCCCCTCTCTGCGTTCTCCGCCCTCGTTTCCAAATCTCTTTATGTCAAACACAAGAAATCTAGAAAAAAAGTATATTCTTTCTTTTTCTCCTTCTCCTTTTACATGCCTTTCTCTTCTCTCTCTCTCTCTTCCTCTCCCCCCGTCTCTCTCTTCGTTCTCCCCTCCTTTCACTCTTTCTCCCAATGCTTTCCCTCCGCCCTCTCTAATCTCTTTCTCTTTATCTCGTGTGCTGTGTTAGTGCAAATGGCAACGTGCTTGTCAGCCAAACTTGCTGTGACCTGCGTTCGATCCTGTGCGCTGACCAGTGGATGGTACTCTAGGCCATTTCATTGCACACAGGGGGAGATTCAGAGCAGCAATGTCACACTAAGCAAAGAATATCCATACTGCAAGAGATAAGAAATTAAAAGTAAATCTTTAGTCTATTCTACAAAATATCTCTTCTTTGGCCCCAACCTCTCCCTCCTCTCATTCCGCCTCGCTCTTCTTTCCCTCTCTCTCTCATCTCCTCATCATTCATCTCTCAATCTCCTCTGTGTGTTTATGTGTAATCTCTCCAACCTTCTCTCTTCTAACTTTCTCTCTCTCCCCGCCCTCACCTTCCCTCTCTCTTTCTTCTTCCCTCTCTCTC